AGAATCATTTGTAAACACAGAATGGTGCAGATATGTTATATGTGGAAAGCAGCAAAGGCTGAATGCTAAATATTGCAAACAAATTATGGTTGTTTAATTGTCTTATGGCCCAGAGGAAGAAGCTATTCTGATGTCTGGTGGTGTGATTCTGTGGGGTCACATATCTCCTACCAAAGGACAGGAGGGAGAACAGGCTGTTGTAGTGATGAATGATCAGTTTAAGTTGCACAGCTTCAAGCCTGATTAAGAACTGAGTGCAAACTCCTCACTTGACTGTCCAATGTCTATTTGTCCAATGAAGAGCATAGCAAAGACTCCCTTCTTTCTTACCAGCTGTAAATCATTTCTGTTACACAATGCACTAAATGGCAGAACCAAATGAATAGCAATAAGGTTAAGCAGTGATATTTAGTGTCCTCCAGCTGAACTGTCTTGCACTTCACCTGATCTTTCTCTGCTTACTTGAATGAGTCAAAACAGCCCATTACTGCGTCCTTATTTAAGGCAATCTCTCTCTCTACCCTTCACCTCTCTGGTGTCTGACCAACAGGAGGCTGCCAACATATCCCACCCCTCACAACCTGCACAGGAGGCCTGCAACCCCTCTCACTTCCATCCACTGGGATGCCGACAGCTGGAAGATACGCTACAGTGACTGTGAACTTCCGGGGTTGGAGCTGCTCAAATGAGCAACTTTGCTAATGAGTGTGAGCCACTGCCTCGGATGGTGATTGATGATGAATTATGAGCAATTATTAGGGCAGTGGGTTGGCATGGTGATTAGAGAGTCTGTCTATCAAGCAGAAAGCTCTGAATTCAATCATTTTCTGCAGCTTTCATGACTGTGTGGCGATGTTCTTCCTCTTCTAGATTATCAGTAAATATTCTGATAGTCTTTCATTTGTCCCTTTATAACCTTCTAAAAGCTACAGCGGATCATTTCCATTGTGATCAGGTGTTGTTGTATTCATTGTGGTGAAATGGGTTCAGAGAGGAAATTGTCCCGTCTGCCAAGCCTCCGTGGATCCTGTCAGAGGCTCCGCTGGGGCTACTGAGCCTCCTTCAATCAGGCCCGGGAGCTGCCAGGACCCTTGCATCTGGTCCTGCTTAGGGCAGCCCCTCAGCCTCTCCTGAGTAACGTAAGAATGCTTTTTTTTATTTTGGCTTTTTGCTCTTGCTCCAGTTTTCTACCACCGCAAGGCTACAGAGGAGTGTAAGACAAACTGCTGGGTGTGCTCCTCAGCTGGGTAACCAGAGCATGCGTGAAAACAGTCAGGGTTTGGAGGAAACACATGCGCAAATACATAAATAAACACCCATATGGGGATTTACATGAACAATGAAGAGAGACAAAGGTCAGCTCTGCCTTGCCCCCACCCTTGAAGACATTCCTGGAGCACCTGCACTCACTTAATATTTTGGCAGGAGTGGAAAAAAAAGTTTCTGTGCTCAGCGCCTGTCATGTTTGTTCACTGAAGGAAACAAGTTTGGTTTTAATTAGAGCTCCTGCCAAGAGCTGAGGTAATTGCCACTCCGTACGTCTTGCTTTCTTTTTTATATTTCTTTTCTCTTTTGTTGCTTCATATACTTTAAAACAGGGCTGAGTCGTTTGCAGAAAAAAACAAAACAGCACTTGTTAGAGCGTGAGTTCAATGTGGTCCATGGGTGCATCCATCATAAAGATCCAGACTTGTATTGTCAGTAGTGACTACAGGACCCACAGTAAATGATTAGGGGTAATAATAATTTGGATAATTGCTGTGTTCGCCCCACCTCCCTGTGTCTTTGTGTCATTCACTCTGGCTGCTTTTGGCCCAGAACAAGGTTTTGTCCTCATGGCACCACCCCAACCCTATGCACCCTCTGCCCCCCCCCACCTGTAAACCAGCTGTGGCCTTGTGCAGCTCATGAAAATTCCCACCAAATTATTCAGACATACACCAACATCTGCTGCAGGCAGATACCCCCCCTTCCTGCGTACATGTGCAAACATCTATTTACACATACAAGGTGAACTCTCTTTTGAGTCCTACATGTATATGAATCCACGATGACCAAGAGAGCTTCACCATACATAGACTGATGCTGCAGAAAACACAAGCAAACAGACCCACTACGTAACACCTTTCCTGGGAAAACTAGAAACCAATAAATGAGTAAAAGGCTCCAAGACTATTGCACAACCATATCTACCACTTCCAGAAGTCTGTATATGGCTTGCACATTTTTTAAGAACCGTTCTTCTTTGCTCCACACTTGGCATGTGAATTGTTAAGGCCCAAGGAAGTGCAGTGTCTGCCGTGACTCGTCAATGTAAGTTTCGTTGATCACAATAACAGTATGTTCATGACAACAGATTTTCCAGTTTGGGTTCTACACACTGACTCAAGCTTCACCAAACTTTGAATAAACAGTTGAACAGCTCTTTGTGCAGCAGCTCCGGTGCTTTATGGCTCAGCAGCTCCTCAGCTCAATCACTGCAGGTCCCTTCAACAGTTTCAGAAAGAAAACTGCAACAAGCATCTCCACAGGAAAACTACCCATTCCAAACAGTCATATTTAGAACAGGCAAATATTGGAAACATAAGAACCATGTTGTAATATTTAGAAAATTCCAGTGACAAGAGGTTGACTTCATCAAATTACAATCATCTTCATCTTTAGTATCCCCCTGGAACTATGCAGTAATTCACTAGCTTATAGCATTTCTGTGCTGCAAGTTCCTATGCCAAATATGTGTTCCCTTCATTTTGCTTGTGATTTTGTAAGATGCAGTGCACTGAGCTCAGGATTGATGGATGAATGGATGTACAACACATTAACACATACAGGCTCATCCCTCATCTTAGCTCTGCTATATTTCACCTCTGCTATGTTTCTGCTATACAGTCGATCTCATCGCTGTGACTGGTTGCAGTCACAGCAATGAGATCGAGAGGGTGATGTGCTTGAGACCGGAAGACAATCTTGATTTGTGTCTGTCAATAAGTAGATAAGAACCATGGATGAATTTTTCTCGTCAGGGCCTCAAATGAGTTGAGCACATGCTGAGCCTTTCAAAAAGGCTTTTATTTTGATTTGCACCACCAGGGGATGGAATGGTGCCTGCTTTGTCTCTCTCCATCTGAGCCCCTGCGGACCCATCAAATCCAGTTCCAGTCCTGAGATGAGATGTAACAGCTCTGATTTACTTTTCAGAGGTTGTTTATTGCCCATGGATAAAAGACAATTGAATGATGTTGTCGGAAGAGTCAGGCTTGGCCAGGGCAGTGTGTGAACCAACTTGAGACAAGAGAAAAAGAATTAGATGTTGGATCCTTCAGAATGCTTAAGTTGACTTCCTAGTCCTCTGATCAGTTCTATGTGCTGATGGAAAACAGAAAGAGGAGAGCTGTTTGTAGTCAAAGTCATGGATATTCCCTGACATGTCTACAAAAAGCTCAGGGTTGAAGGTGAGATATCAGGACATGCAAGAATGCTAATGTGGTCAGGTATATATTTTGAGTTTTGAAAATGCAGTTGCTGATAAAGCACTTCAAATACAACAAAATTATTTATTTTCAGTGTGTAATATTACCACTTGAGCTCTATTAGAGGAAGCATTAAGGACATATCCTGTAGTGATTTACTGGTAAAGTGATGATTGTTTGTGGTGGTTTGTTTTATGCTGTGATTCCATTATAATTTATCATGAGGGGCAAGTTAAGATAAGATGATAAAAATTTGACCTCATGTTCTGGTGAATGTGATATATCAAAAACAAGGACATTTGTTTCCATAACAAACATTTACTTGGACTCAAGTCTGTGACATCACAAATCCTTTTTAAGAATGGCTCAATAGAATGTTTTGAACAAACGTTCACATTAGACTCAAAGATTAACTGATTAGCTTTTGGCGGGCAAAGGTCAAGGTCAAGTTGGCCTCATAAAACACCTTTCTGACCTCAGGGAAGTCATTTTAGTTCAAACATGAAATACTGTAGCTGATAGAGGGCACTCTATTTCGACTCATGATGCTCTGTCAAACACTGTGCACACTGAACTGATGATTGTGTCATTTGTGTAAGATGTGCAACATATATACAACGCTATAATGAAGCAAGAACCATCAAACAGTTTCTGAGTTTTCATCAGTCAGGTCTGAAAACTCAAACACATGTTCCACACCCACCAATAAAATAATTTCTTGGATGTTCTGCTCATGTTGTTAGTGTTGATCCTCCATCAGTTAAACTAACTATACAGCAACAGAAGAGTAACAAATATTTGCTGCCATATGTGGAATATTTAACTATCAGTCATGTCCTGGGTGAAGTAAGACATGAGAGATTCTCATTATGAAGCGCTCCCCAGAATTTGTGGCCACATTCCCTGTTTTCTTTAAAATCGCTTTTTAATCACTGCTGCAGAAATGTCTATGGCAGATGCACCTAGGTGTTGGCAGGACATCCCTTGTTTTTGAAGAACGGGAATGTTTTACCCATTTCCCATCACCCATCTGGACTCCCTGATATTGAATTGAAAATACACATTGAAATCCCAGGACACACCGATTGCATACATTTCATGTATTACATCGACAAATGAAACAAAAAACATTTAACAGCATCAATCTCCAGCAGGGGAGTGTGTTGGGTGGCCTTTGCTTGGAGGGTGGCCCACCATGGCATCTTATGAGTGCTGATTGTGTACAATGTGAGTATCAATTGTAACACCCCCTCCTCTGTTCGCCAACGGGAACATAGCTCCCTGCATCCCTCACCTCCCAGGACACAGAAGGTGAGCTGGACCCCGGCCCAGATAAATGTGCTGTCCGTTCCAGCTGGGGTTGTGTCAGGATCTCCCGGGCGGTGGGGACAGGCCCGTCTTTGTCCAACAGGAGCTGCGTGTGGTTTGGTATCTTAAGAGAGTCATAATCACATCCGTGATTTGGGTGTTAACAGGCCCCCACAGCTGTCAGAAAGCAATGCATCCTGGGAATGCATGACGAAGGAACCGCTGGCCCTTAGCGTGCGGGTTGCAATATGTGTTTATCCCTGTACACACACACAGCATGCATATATCCATCTCTGTGAGGGTAATATGGGTGGACGCCTCATTTCTTGTCCAAACACACCAACAGCTATGGCAGCACATTAGCAGCTTCACCCTGTGCAATTTAAGGGCCTTATGAAAAGCATCTGTCTGGGACATTGTGTCCAACAATGCTGAGCGCTGTTGTGATATATGTTTGAACGAATGCCGAAACCACAGGAAATGACAGGATCAAAAATAAACATAACTACATGAAACAACAATATAATTTGAGAACTTAAAAAAGCCCACAGAGCATCATCTGCTTGAAATCAACCTAGAAACCCTCTTTTTGCTGAAAAGACGTTTGGAGGCCTTTTGATGCGTGAAGGGTGACCCAAAAATAGTCTAGTGATTAGCCAAGAAGACCTATGGAGCACTGAAGGGATCTTCGTTCAAGTGCCTCCTGTCCAGGGGCTGATTCATGAGCAGGGGTCAGTGCTTCAGAGTATATATCAGGTTCTCAGTTTGTTGTTTTTAGCAGCTGTTATTGCATTCAAGAGACTGAGCTGGCCCCACTGAATCACAGGCATGAGCGGAGGGAGAGGACTTTGACCTCAAGGGCCAAGGCAGGCAGAGCTGTAGGCGG